AGAAGAAGGGAGGGGGAGGAGGAGAGAGATGATGATGATGAGGAGGAGGAGGAGGAGACAAGAAGATGAAAGGAGGAGGACCTGCCGATTTTTGAAGTGCGTTGACGAAAGAGGAGGAAGAGGAGGAGGAGGAGGAGGAGGAGAAAGGAGGAGGAACTTCGCCTGACACGTGGCACTTCGACTGATAAAGAAAACTAACGAGGAGGAGGAGGAGAAAGAAGGAGGAGGAGAGAAGAAGACGAAGGGAGGAGGAGGAGGAGGAGGGGGGAGAGAGAGAGAGAGAGAGAGAGAGAGAGAGAGAGAGAGAGAGAGAGAGAGCTCACACCTGGCACTTCGCGCAATGGTACCGTATCGACGACGACAGGCGGCGAGGACGAGCTGGGAAACGGGCAGCGACGATGGGCAGCGGCGGCGGCAGTGACGACGGACACCTTGGCGATGGCGGGCAGCGACGGGCGTCGACGGCGGGAGCTGTACGTCGGCGAAGGCGGGCATCGACGGGCATCGACGGCGAGAGCACTTCCTCGGCGAAGGCGGGCAGCGACGGGCGTCGACGGCGGGAGTACTACCTCGGCGGGAGCAGCTCGATTCTTCGAATTCGAAGCGAGCACGCACGGAAAAATTTTGCACTGGGGGGCGGGGAGGCTCCCAAGGCCCAGAAAAGTGGAAACAGGCCTCCCCCCCCCCCCCCCCCCCCCCCCCCCCCCCCCCCCCCCCCCCCCCCCCCCCCCCCCCCCCCCCCCCCCCGGCACAAAAATGCGCTGGGCCCGCCCGGCATCGAACCGGGGGACCCAACCGGCCGGGCCGCCTGGGACCCCTGCCGGATGGAGGCTGGGCCGCCGCCCGGCATGTAACACAGGTGTGATATGCTTTATCTGTTGTTTTTAACACAGACGAGGAATGTACTCTAAAGTTGCTTCTTCTGTACTCAAACCCTGATATGAACATAGGGGAACAGTGGGACAGAGAAAAACAGTGAGAAGAAAAGTGCATGTCGCTGGGGAGGAGTTTGTTTGGGGGAGGGCGAGGGAGGAAGTGGGTGGACATTGGAATAACTGAGAAGAAAAGTGTACAGCACTGAAGGGCTGCCATAACACATTCTCCTCATAGCATCTTCTTTGCCTAGCATCATGGTTTGACGGCTTGGGTTCCCCCTCCCCCCCCTTCCCCACCCCGCCTGAGAGATCATGTGTTTCATGAACTTTCATCATTTCACGTGTGGAAGGAAATTTCACATACTACATGGAAAGGTGAAAAACTTCCAAAAAGTACTGCACTCCATGTCAGGATATTGGTGTATCTGTAATGTACTTTATCTTTGCTCGTTTTGTTTTGCATGTATTTGTGTGGAAACAGTGGAAATGATTTTGCTTCTGGCACTGGCATGGTGTGACTTTCCTCATCCCGGGTTTATTTCTGTCATGCTGTGTGCGCAGGGTGCTTCCGATATGGTTTTGGCTGACAACAACTTCAAAACAATTGTTGCGGTGAGTTGTTTGAACTTTTTGGCTGATAGAAATAACACAGGATTTTGGCCTTTTGGCTAAGATCAAGTGTAGTATGTGTTCTGATCACTTTAATATCTGATACGTGGTCCATCGGAGCGCATGAAAAGAAAAAGAAGGAAATATCACAGAGTGCTGAATGACATCTGAGGTCCAAGGCTTGTGGGGTTGTTAGGGGTCCAACTGCACATTGATCTGGCGTTGGGTCTGTGCAGAGTGTGCATCTGGAACAAGGTCCCACTTACCTGGGTTTTGCGTTTCTGGCCATTGATTCTCATAACTATCAATAGTCCCTAATGAAGAATCCAGGCAACAGGTTCCACACTTTTTTTTTTTTAATAAGGAGAGACGATGCTCCAATCTATTCGTGGGGAGCAACACGGCTGGGAACCGGGCCCAGCGTCCCTTATCAGAATACAAAGATGAGCTACCGGGGCCATTATGAAACAGTTTTCACCTTTGGCAGTAGCCGATGCAGATCCCAGGGGTCGATCCCTTGACCTCAGCTTACCTGTGTACAGTATCTGCACAGTTCCCTGGAGTTGAACCCGTGACCTGCACGATAGCCAGTGGTAAGTAGGTCRCCGTAGGTTGTAGGCTGTAGGGAGATTCAAACTGTAGACCTGTAAGGTAGGAGTCCAAGTAGAGTCCAGAGGCCTAGCTGTAGTCCTTCTAGAAGGTCGGCAAGTGGTCAAGTGGTGAGTCTAAGGTAGGCCCACGTTTTCAGACGAAGACAAGTGGCAAGGTCAACAGGTAGGACCTCAGTGCAACTGCACTGAGTCGACGGTACGACTGCCTACAGTCAGCAGAAGGGTCTAGAGAGTCCCAGTCCAGTCCAGGAAGTACCACAGGGGGACTGTGAGAACCAAGGGCCGATGGCAAAGGGCAGACCAACAAATTTCTGAAGTATAAATCAAGAGGCAGCGCCCAGCCATCCATTCATTCATTCCTGCGTGAGCCATGCGGAAGCGCTGCCACAGCGACTTGTGCAAGGAGGTCTGCAGATGAGCCCGGAGGACGCAGTGGGCTAGAGAGAGGGAGTTAGCATAGCGATAGGGTAGATGCAGCGACAGCTGCCATAGCTGTAGTTAGTAGTGAGTGTGTGTGTGTGTTCGAGTGTTAGAGTGATGCGTGTGGGATATCCAGGGTGATCCAGTGTATGTGAACAGTGAGATGTTTGGGCGCTGAAGTCGCCATAGCCAATTGAGAGTAAACTCGTATCTGAAAGCCATACATCTGAGTTTTGAGTGGGCGCATTTCACCAGTATGCTGCGTTGCTGTTTACATGCATGAAAAGTGTGTTTGAGAACGAGTCTGATTGCAGTTACCCGGCTTCGGCTTGTACGTGGCTGGACATTGGAATAACTGAGAAGAAAAGTGTACAGCATTGAAGGGCTGCCATAACACATTCTCCTCATAGCATCTTCTTTGCCTAGCATCATGGTTTGACGGTTTGGGTTCCCCCTCCCCCCCCTCCCCACCCCGCCTGAGAGATCATGTGTTTCATCATTTCACGCATGTATGGGCATGCATTTGCTGTAGTATTCGAGCGGACGCAGGCCATCACCATCGTCTTGTTGCAGCACTGCACCGATCCCAAACTGGCTCACGTCCGTAGTGACTACGAATGTGAGGTTGGGATCCGCAATGCGGAGCAGAGGATGACTCACCAATGCCTCTTTCAAGGCTTGGAACGCAGTCTCACATTTCTCACACCACGCATAGACAACATTCTTACTGGTTAGTCTCGAGAGTGGGTGAGCAATGACAGAAAATTTGAGCACAAACTTCCGGTAGTAGGAGGCCAAACCAAGAAAAGAACGCAGTTCGCATACGTTCGCTGGTTGAGGCCACTTTCGGATGACCTCAACCTTGGTTGCCTCCGGCTCAAGGCCGTTTGCAGACAACCGGTGCCCAAGATAGATGACGCTGTCCCTTCCAAACTCAGATTTCTCTAAGTTGAGGTGCAACTGTGCCTCCACGCATGTATGTGGAGGTAGCTACCTTGTGGCTGGGCATTCTTCTCAGTGTTGTAGCTGCCACGGTTAGGCCCCTTGTTTGAAGCAGTCTTTTTAAATGCATTAAGTTTTTCATCTTCGTTTACGTCAGACTCAATGGCTGATGTGGAACAGCCCATATCGGAGTCCGGCTCTAGATCGTCATCTACAGACAGATCATCCGCGTAGGACTGATCTTCAGCCTCCCAATGTTCATGCAGGGCAAGCTGGTTGCTGCTTCCATAGCGCTTGTATGGTGGTTTTCCACCTGCAGCGGCCGCCTTCTTGACCTGGCGAGGTCCTTGGCCTCTAGGTTGACTAGATCCGTCATGAGCTCTCGCCAAGTAGTATGGTCTTTGAGTCCTAGCAGGAAAAGGTATTCTTTAGGGGCCACTCCCATGACTACATCCATACAAGACACGTCGGTCATTCCCTGGTCTGGAGTGGTGAACATACCAGTCAAGTGTTGTTCCAAAGCCTGCATGGAGGACCTCCATGTTTGGCCCTTGAGGGCCTCAAGCTTCAGCCTAGCCTTGAGCGCAACGTGCTTATCTTGGTATCGTGTGATGAGAAGGTCCTCAAGGGTGCGTACAGGGGTTACTTTCAGCCACTCAGTCAGGTCAATTCTTTCATAACCTGCAGCAACAGTTTGGAGCTCAATGTGATTCCGTACGGCGGGCTCAGTATTAGTGCCCATGATCATGCTTCGGTCTTCTTGCGGTGTGCGCATGACCTCGAAGTATGAGCGCATGGAACTAATCCAAGAGGTGATATCCGCTTTCCGTCGTACTTGGACGGCAAGGTGGTCGCCCGCTTGTCCACTACGGGACCGCTGTACTGAACGCAAGTAAGGACTGGCGTTTTGGGCCGATGTCCCTGCATTTGGGACTATGACTAGTGCAGAACTGCCGGCGCTGCCGCTCGAGGAGCTGGCACCGGTTCCTGCGCTCGTCACAGTTCCACTTGCTCTTGCCATGAGGATTGTGTTAGATTGAGAGACTGGGACTGCAGCAGGTCAAGGGTTAGGAGGGCGGGGGGCAGGCAGTTGGGACAGTTTGAGGCTGAGTATCTCAGCCTACAACTCTTGGTTTCGCTGCTCTAGTGCTGTTACACGGGACTCAAGGTCTTCTAAGTTCCGCAGTCGAACCAAGGCTGCTACGGCAACAACTAGCCTCTCCTGGAACCGGTCAGCATTGGCTTCCGGGACTTGAAGGAGGGCCACCTGGGCAGCTATGCTTGTGGCTCTGGCTTCTGCCTCTGCCTCCCTTTCCCTCTGCACGGCATCATCATAAAGCTTTTGGAAGAACGATTTCTCGTTCTCGTCTGCTGCGTCCAGCATGGCCTGCCATTGGGCAGATGTGATGTCTGCCATGCCGGAGGAAAGGGTGTTAGCAGTTCTCTCAAGAGGGGTCCGCTCTCTCCTCACGTTTGGACGAACACTCCTCTTGCCCTTCCTCACACTCTCAAAAAGAACACCTCTCTCCCTTCTCTCTCTCTCTGCTGTCTGCGCACGCATCTCAATACCGGACATAGATAGTTCAGATGAAAGAAACAATCAGTCAAACACACAGAGTAGAAGGTAGAACTCCTATCCGGAGTGGCGATTCATTTGGACTTAGAGAATGTCACGCAGCAGAATAAAAGAATAAATAAATAAAATAAAAAAATAAAACGGAAGAGAGGACTGACTTATAGAACGGGCCCGATCAGATTAGCTGGAGATCCCCTTTTGTCTAACCTGACAAGGGACATGTATCACAATAAATCAGCCGAAGAAAACGAACTGCGGCAATGGAGATTTCGAGGGGTGCAGACGGTCGCCGAGCCAGATGCGGGGCAGTATGTGATAGCAGGCGGTAAGACCAGTCAAGATCCCCTTGAAAGGAATGCCCTTGCTAGCCGTATGTCCCCCAAGTTCAGCACAGCAAAGAGAAGCACTGACGGCAACATATTTGGGCCCGAAAGGTCCTGTCCCGTTGGGTCCCAAGTAGGTCGTGGACCAGGACCAACGTGATAGGGGTACCAAGTCGGTCCCAAACTACCTCTACCGTACTGAAAAGGAAAAGACAACTTTCAGCAAGAACTTACCCCTACAACCATTCAAAAATGAAAAGACATTGCACCGTAGAAAGATATGTCATTTAGAACAGATACATCATCCATCCATCCATCAGGTGAGAAAGCAATCCACATGCTCACACACACAGCCAAGACCGCAGAGAAGAGGAAGAGAGGCCAGCACACCCCAACAGGCCATGAAGCAACAAGCAACCTCCCGCGGGCATACCCAGGTCACATGGCACTTACCTGTGAGGCCCGGCCTCCAAAGATGGATAACGACTCACCCCCCTCCCTCATAAGTCCTCCTGACCCCTAGCTACCACTACACCAAGTGTCCTAGCATGACTAAGAGGGCCTTCCTACACCCCTGTTGCAAAGTCGGATCCCCCGTCAATGTCTGAAGACCAAAGTAGCGACTTGCAGCTCTTCGATGCAGATATGGCAGCCTCCGATCAAGTCTCCCTCTTGAGGGGAAGCCCAAAAGTCACTCAATGTCTTCTTGAAGTGCAGATTCCAGGTGCGAGTACCTCTCACTCTCTACTCCCTCTCGCTTACTCCAATCAGCCTCTTTTGTGTCTCGCCACCCCATCCATTCACTCAAGCAACCTGGTCAGGTCTAATGTCGACCCTACATGACCTAACCAGGTGGGGGCAGCATCCACATACCTCACTGCCCCACTTAACCCTAACTTCCTAACCCTAATCCGAGATTAGGTTAGCCCTAACCTAACTCGAAATTAGGTTTAGGGTG